TATATATATATATATATATATATATATATATATATATATATGATGCTAGTCAGCCTTAGAAATGAAAAAAAATATTTTGTTTTATGACAGCATAGAGTAACCTAGAAGGACACCATGTTGAGTAAACTAAACCAGATACAGAAAATAAATACCATATGGTTTTGTGATTTTTGTTATGTATGGAATATAATGTAATTTTTCTCATAGAAGTTGAGAATCACAGCTACAAGAGGCTAGAGGAAAGAAAGGGTAAAAGTGAGAAGAAATTACTCAAAATTCAATGTCACTGATAACAAGAATAAGTTTTGGTGTTTTGTTGCCTGAGCAAGTAACATACACATATACTTTGTAAATCATAACAGAGTAAATAGTATTATGGGGATGCACATCTGTGATTTCAGCAGTTATTGGGCAGAGGCATAAGGATACTTAGTTTCCTGTGTCAAACCAGCAAACAGCCCCTTTCACCTAATCAAATTGTTAGAAAAGAGAAATTTTAATGTTAAGAAATAAAATTATTTGTAGTCTTATTTTCTCTACAATGAGAAAGTAAGCCCACTGATCATGAATTTGATTTTAAGCTAAAGTTCTCTGATTGTAGACTATTTGAATGTCAGAGTGCTTGAGTGTCGTCTCGCTCTTAGACTGAGTCTTCTTACATAACCTAGACTAGTATCTTAACTGGAGAGTCTCCATTTCCTAGGTGTTAATAGAACTGTACTGCCATGATGTTTCCTGAAAATAGCTTTTGCCAAATGATTTCTATTTTTCTCAGAACTCTTCTAGTTATTTTAATTTTACTTAATTTTAATGTTTTAAAAGGAAGTTATCAAACTCACTTACAATCCGTCATCTCTTCTTCTCCAATACTGTCCCTATCCTCACATTGCTATTCCTTCTTCCCAACTTCATACACTCCTTTTCTTAAAGTCAACTTAGTACTACACTTAGTGCTGCCAGGATGTACATAGCTTGAGGGCCAGTAACTGTAGCATGAGTAACCTCTCAGGGGCAACATTCTGAAGAAAACAGACTCTCCTCTTCCAGAAGCCATCATTTGCCATTAATTCTTTAAATAAGGGTAGAACTCCATGATTCCTTTCCCTATTTGTGCCTCGATTCTGCTTTCCCTGATCTTTTGCAGGTCTCAAGCATGCAGTTTTTGCCACTGTGAGTTCATGAAAACATCTTACACCTGAAAGCATCTCTCAGACCAACAAAGGAGCTTCTTTAGTAGTAGATAGCCATTAATGCAGAAACCAAAAACTGATCAATATGCAGAGAATTGGGAAGTGAGGAGTACTCAGTGCGAATTGGGACATCTATATTGTACCCCATCCCCAGGGCCAAGGAATCAGTCAGGAAGAGGATGCAGAAAGATTGTAACGTCCAGAGATAGTGCATGACTTACAGTGGTATCTATCTTTTGCCCGTTGTTGATGTGAGGACTGAGGTGAGGAACACTGTAGTCTTGAATCTTAGGGTATAATATTCCTCAAGACCTGACTTACGTATCCCACACCTTTTTCCATTTTCCAATTTAAGTTATTATTGTTTATGTGTATATGATGTGTTCAGTGTATGGGGGGTGTGTGAATGCCACAGTATGCATGTTGAGAACAACTTTATGGAGTTGATTTATCCTTTCAAGCTTTACATGGATTCTGTGGATTGAACTCAGGTCACTGGGCTTGCCTTTACCTGTTGAGTGATCTCACTGACTCATGCCTTCTTTTTAATTCTCTATCTGCTATCCTATTACTCACTCCAGTACTAGACATGTACATTTTTATTTTATAGGCTCACTGTACCCAGATGGTTCTTCTGGGTACCTGAAAGCTGATGATTCTGTTCCCCCTGGAGGCAGCCATGTCTACAACTGGACTATTCCAGAAGGTCATGCACCCACTGGTGCAGACCCAGCATGCCTCACCTGGATTTACCATTCTCATGTAGATGCTCCACGAGACATTGCGACTGGTCTCATTGGACCCCTTATCACCTGTAAAAGAGGTACTTAATCAGACAATAGCCCTAAGATACAATTTGGGACATCTCTGGGAAGCAGTGTGATATTTGAACCAAGATTATATTGAGCAGCAACCTGAGTGGTACCCATTTATTAGCTTATCAAACTCAGTTTCCACTGTCTATTTCATTGCCTTTAACAGACAAATCCAGACAAGGCAAACACTGTCACTGAGCTACAATCCTGAGCCCAATGGATCCTTTTTACTACTTAGTGTTGATTATGATTATCATAGGTATTCTTGAGTAACTGGCATATAATTTTTCCTTGTGTGAGAAGAAATGGAGTAGGGATAGGAAGAGTGCCTATTTAGCAATGCACAAGACCCTCCCTCGTTTCAATCCTCAATATCACCAAAACAACCAGATTTTAAAATCAATTTCCTGGCTTTTAGCTGTAGATTAGAACAGTGTCACATGCTGTAGTGAAGTGTATTCCTCACCTTTTCTAAATTCTTAACTTGTTCATTTATCTAGAAGAACCCAGATACTAGATTATTTAGACCTAGAATAATTGATACTGTTTCGGGTACCTGTTTTTAAACTGTCCTGTATCTTATGTTTCTAGGACATCTAAGCTTTACAATGTCATTTAAAATTTTTTTAGGTATATTTTTTTAGGCATGCTTTCATTTTCACATATGAAACATTTTTTTTTCTTTGTATTTCTAATGTTTCCTGGTTGTATAATTAAATTTACTATGGGTCTTTATTGTATTCTGCAATGATTTCTTCATGTATTTATATTGAGTTAATCTTGAAAGTATCCAGTATTCTTTGAGACAGAGAGTATCTGTAGCAAACTAGAGTGTGTTGCTGCACACTGTAACCCTAGTAATTGGGAAGCCAAGGCAGGAGGGTCACAGATTTAAGGGTAGCCTGAACCTGGGCTACTTTGTGAAACACTGTCTTAAGAAGACCAAAAATTAAATCAAACAGGAAGACAAATGCACCCAAAGGAGGAGTTCGAGTGTGGTAAATGATTGGGGAAGAATAAATTGTCTTGAAATATTCAAACTCTAAATACAGTTTTTAATCCATTGACTCTGGTAGGTATTTACACGTCTATATTTATATTAGTTCTCTTTTTGTAATCTTAGTTAAAAAATGTTTAAGGGGGGGTGCTAGGATTCAAACTTAGGGCTTTATTCATGCTAATCACGGACCAATAACCCATCTGTAGATGTTGCAGTTTTAAAATGCTGAATACTTGAAAAGTCCTGATTAACAATTCTTTTAGACCATTATGTATAATGCAATTAGTAACAAAATTGGATTTTTAGCAACTTGTTTTTCCTCTGTATTTGTTGTATGTACCTTCTCTTTGTAATGATGTTTTCACTGAAATTTTACCCAATGCTTGAAATTTATGTACTCCATTTGCTTTTATTTAGTTGCTATTCTAAAACATTAAATCAAATTTTAAAATCTTAAAAAAAAAACCTCACCAAATAATTCCACTACTTTTGTGTTGTTTCTTATTTTGCTTTTAAAATTCAAATTAGTAATCATGGCAGCCAACTCACATTTGAATAAGGTAAATGATAAGAACTTAGTTATGGATCAGATGGAAAGTGTGGCCTTTAGGATTCTGCTGCTTATTTGGAATGGGTTATCATTAAAGAGTAGTCATGTTTAAAGACCAACGGATTGTAAAAATTGGGTTAGGTCTAAGCATTAGATTGAAGATATAGACAAGGATGATGGGAAAGAATTATTTTTGAATCTGTGTTTCCCCCATTTATGTCAGATTCATACCTGGCAAACTTGGAAATGAAAAGTAGCATCAGAAACATTTTCTGTTGTTGACAGACCTTTAAGATCCTCTTGCCTCTCTTTTTATTTTTTCTTATGAGAACCCCTTTGTAGCCTATCACCAAAGATCATGTTTTATGCTTGTCCAGGGACCCTGGATGGTAACTTCCCACCTCAGAGGAAGGATGTGGACCATAATTTCTTCCTCCTCTTCAGTGTGATAGATGAGAACCTTAGCTGGTACCTTGATGACAATATTGCTACATACTGTTCAGACCCTGCCTCAGTGGACAAAGAAGATGAAGCCTTTCAAGAAAGCAACAGGATGCATGGTGAGCTAGGAGGAAGTAGCTGCACTGTGACAATGGAGACTCTTATGGAGAGTTTCCGCTAGGCCTAGTATTGTGTTCATTCACACACATGATCCTTTATATTCTTACAAGACCGAGAATAGGTGGAAGGAGCAAGGGTATGTGGATTTTCTGCTTTGTCTGAAAATACTTAGGATCATAACATTATGGATCAAAAAATAACACATCTCAAATCTCAGTTCTGATCTTTCCAGTTGTGTAGACTGTGCCCTGGCCATTAAGTCTATCTTTCTCAAAGTGTGAAAGAGCCAAGATTATTGATTCTGAATCACATATAATAAATATACTTAGTCACTTAATGAGTGATCCAATCACATAAGTAATTAATACTACCTTGATTTTCAAAGAATGCAATATAGAAGAATTATCTACTTTGTAGAGAAAAATGACCACTTTTGAAATACCTTCCTTATGTTGTACTTTTGGCTTATTTTTTTTTTTTTAATTGGGGAGAGCATGAATAGAGTCCCCGACTACCACAAATTAAGCAGTTGGGATCAGCACATCTAGAGTGCAGTGAATAATTTATCTAGACAAGAATTGATTATATTGATTAAATTAAAGATAAAAGTAAGGAGCTTTAAGTCATGAGCAGAGAACTGATTTTAGGAGTAGAAATATCCTGACTTTGTTATTGTTAGTGAAGGAAGTTATTTGCTACTTTTGGTTAGAGGAATGCACCCACAGCCCCCCCCCCAAAAAAAAGAGCCAAAATCTCAGTGGAGAGATATAAAGGATAGATTAGCTAGGTTTCTCTTATCTTGGGTTTTATGAAAATGTATTACGGTAGCCTTGATGGTCAGGTAACTTAACACTCATACTGTGGAAATTTTAGAAGGAAACTAGCCAGAATGGAAAGAATGGCTTGGAAAAATCTCACAGAACTTCCTGAGATCATTGGATTTGGAATATTGATTTTATTACCTAAGAGAGTTATGTGGTTTTTTTTAATATTTTATTTATACAGTATTCTGCCTGCATGTACACCTGCATGCCAGAAGAGGACATCAGATCTCATTATAGATGGTTGTGAGCCACAATGCAGTTGCTGGGAATTGAACTCAGGACTTTTAGAAATACACTCAGTGTTCTTAACCTCTGAGCCATCTCTCTACCCAGAGAGCTATAGTTCTTAGACAGAAGTAATTTCACTTCTTTATGTATTGGTTTTCTCAATTTTGTGAATAGGAAAAATGATATTTGCTTGTTCATTTTAATTATTCATAACATTTAAGTGAAAAAGCTGTATCTTTAATGCAGTGTGCTCGCTCCTTCAAACTTCATTTGAATGCTATCTACTCTTTTTGTCAGATAGTAACACTTTTCTCATTTATCTGTTGTTTCCTAATTTCCAATTTTTTTTTTTTACTGCAGCAATCAATGGGTTTGTCTTTGGGAACTTGCCAGAACTAAGCATGTGTGCACAGAAGCATGTGGCCTGGCATTTGTTCGGCATGGGAAATGAAATAGACGTCCACACAGCTTTCTTCCATGGACAGATACTGACTATCCGTGGACATCGCACTGACGTTGCTCACATTTTCCCAGCCACTTTTGTGACTGCTGAGATGGTGCCCCAGAAGTCTGGAACCTGGTTAATTAGCTGTGAAGTAAACAGCCACTTGAAAAGTAAGGTCTAACATTTTTCACACTTGGAATACATGAGGGAAATGTCGTTTATAGTCAGTGGGAAGCATGAATACAAGCTTGGAGCCATCTGTCTAATAGGTTTCCCAGGCTTCTTGGTGTAAAAAACTAGACTGAAGTCAGATATTTAGGTTATTTCTTGAATCTGCCAGTAATGTGCTGGATAAATTTAGGAAAAAAAATGAGGTTTGATCTTCCCAATAAAATTTAACCGAAAATTACTTCAAAGAGGACAATAAAAGTATGTTTCACAAGGTGGTTGGAATTTTAGATGAAGACAAAATGAAGAGCACTTGAGACAAGACCTCACATATGTGCTCATCAGAAACTAATAACCCTTAAAATAAAATAAAATAAAGAAAATAAAAAAACCAGTATCTCTTATTTTTCCTTTATATTTCAGGCTTCTAATATCAAGGAAAATGCCTTCTTAGGAGATTTTGAGACAAGAAAGAGATAATAGAGTTGAGCAGCATGCATATATTGTTAAGGAAATACAGATAAGTGGAATCTGTTATTATTTTGATTTAAAGTAATATTATTCCTATTTAGAGAAAATATCTAAAAACTACATTTTCTAATAATTACACATCTGAAGTTTTGTCTCCTTGTATAAGAAAGGGCTTATTGTTTTCCTTGCTTCCCAGTTTATAAATAGCGTCCCTTCTTTTAGACTTGATACACGTATATGCCTCTTGAGGTAGACTTCCTTATTCTCTTCATTAATAAAAGATGTGTGCTCAGACTGAAGGTTTACCTAAGGTCTTACAGATAGTGATACATATTTAGCTTAAACTTGAGTCTCCTGACCTGAGTCTCTGTGATGTTGCTGCAATGTAGATCTTCTGCAAATGCAACGATGAGATCTGGTAAATGTGTCAGTGATTGCCTGGGCTTAAGGAGTCAGGAAAAATGGCACAGGATAGAAGTAAAAAGACTAGAAGAGGACGAAAAGAGACAAAACAAGGAAAAGAAGAGTATATACTCTAAATAGAAATTATAGCAGTAGAAAGGGAAAGCTATGTTTTTCTTTCCTCTAGGTGGCATGCAAGCCTTCTACAAAGTTGACTCTTGCTCCATGGACCCACCTTTGGACCAACTCAGAGGCAAAGTTCGTCAATACTTCATCCAGGCCCATGAGATTCTATGGGACTATGGTCCATTAGGGCATGATGGGAGAACTGGGAAGAGTTTGAGAGAGCCTGGAAGGTAAGAGACTGAAGTCTCCTGTTCCTACTCCTATCAAAAAACCTGTTATACTACTCCTTGAAATCTCTCTTTACTTGGAGGGTCACAATTTTGCCCAGATACAATTGCTGTTATGGACCCTGTGGCTCTCTTGTTTGCATTGTGTAGCAAGCTTTTTAAAGATTATGTCAATTACTGTTTCAAATAGAAATTGAGGCTGTTTTTGCCTCATATATGGCCATGTATAGAAGGGAAAGCCAAGGTGGGAACAGTTTTGCATCAATTGAAATGACTTTTCTTTTTCAATCAATTATTTGCTTGCTTCCTTCCTTCTTCCTTACTTCCTCCTCCTAATCTGAAGAAAATATTGGAGTATGGATATAAAAAGCATGCTAAGAAATATATGGGAAAAGAGGCTGCTTGTAGTGATTCCATGTCCATCCACTTGTAGGAACATGTCCAGGTTCTTTTCCTTTACACATGACCCATATTCACAAAAGTTAAAGCAGAAGGTTAGGTCTTTACTCAGTTCCTGGGCCTTCTTTTCAGGTCATTGACAATGCTAGTTCTTTCAGAGAGGTGGCATTTCATAGATAACTAGGGCAAGATATGGGAAAGATACTTGGATACCATTCTTTTAGTAATAAATGGAATAAATACAGAGAAACCTTAAAAGTTGGCACTGGCCTTCTGGAATGGCAGCTGAAAACTCCATCTTGGGTTACCTACTAATGGGTTTTCATGTGAGAGTGAAGGATATATTTTTATTTTAATGACAATGGGTCTAATTATGATTCTTTGACTGGGCCTTTAACTCTTGGGCTCAAGTGATCATCCTGCCACAGTTTCTAGAGGACTACATGCATCTGGTGACTGTAAGTATACACCAGTGTGACCACCTAAATATTCCCATGATAAATGAGAATAAAAGATTGGAATTACCTGAGAATAACTTAGAACAGAAGAAAGAGGGTATTGTAGTGATTGATCTTGATTGACTGGTAGGTGGAATAACAGCAACTGGCTTGAGAGTCATTCACTCTACCTGTGCGGAAATCACAGATAGGCAAGTCTACAGAAGATTTTGTTTCTTTCAGAGTCTGACAGCAGCAAGTGATGGCAGCAGACTGATAGAAGTATCAGAAGTATCACCCTTTTATATTGCAGTCCTTATTCTGGCCTCAGACATTGGGCCACTTAGTCGCACACAGCATACAGATTTTTAGCCTTTGGCAACAGTTAATTTTTTCTTTATTAATATATTTATTCAATTTACAGCCTGTTCACAGCCCCTTCCCTCATCTCCTCTGAGTGCCACCTTCCCATTCCCAACCCCCATCTCCTGTTTCCCTTCTCCTCAGATAAGGGGAGCCCCACTCCTCATGGGTACCAACCTGCAGTGGAACATCAAGTCTCAGCATTACTAAGTGCATCATCTCCCACTGAGGCCATACAAGGCAGCCAGCTAGGAGAAAGGGATCCAATTTTATGTTTCTTAGTCCAGAATCTGAGGCCCTTAGCCTTGAAGATTTAGAAGCTCTTTGGGACTCTATTGGTAGCCAGGGACTCCATGGGTTCTTTCTTCTGGCCTCTTTCATCCTGCTCTTTCAAGTCTTTTTACTTCCATTTCTTGTCTTTTTTTTTTTTTTTTTTTTTTTTTTTCCGGAACTGGCTACTTTCAAACCATTTAGTTGTTTCTTCAGCTGTCATTGTTCTCTGCAAAAACATGGGGTATCAATCAATATATGCTGGAGCCAGGTTACATCTGGGGCACCTGCTGGTGCTTATGAGTCAGTACTATTCATAAACTGGACATGGGGAATGGTGGGGATCTTTTAGGAATAGGGTATCTCCTCTGACTGAAAGCAGAATCCTTGCTGATGTGTGGGACCCGTAGCGGAATTATCAAATATTCTGCAGCTGTGTTGTTGGTACTTCTGGGTGAATTTCACCCTTTGGGCACTGCTACTGTGCAGGTGTAAGATCTCCACATACGCTACTTCTTCAGTTATCAAATGGCATTAGCTGGAGTTTTTTCCCTGGGAATCCTGGCCCTTGGCTCTCAAAGTACGCACTGGTTACATATAGGTATTTTTCTGAACTCCACCTATAAATATGGCAACAGCTTCTGGGACTGCCTTCAAGGCTGCTAATTGTTTAGTTATTAAGCAACAATGAAAGCAGCAGCACTTTGTACCTGGAAGCCTGGTGCTTAGCAATGCATGCCTGTTTGTTCAGAAGCAACACTGGGAGGAAAGTTGGTGCCAAGTAATGCTGGATTTGTACAGCTCCTGTGAATGGGTGGCACTGGATGGTAATGGATTCAAGCAATACCTGTGTAGATTTTTCAGCTGCCAAGCACTGACCTGGATTAAGTTCCTGTCAAACGCAGGAACTTGTTTAACTTCCAAACAACCAGGCAATGCCTGGATTAGTATGGGGGCTGTGGTATCAATGTTTATTTCAAGGAAGACAAACTTGTTAGTCTAGTCTCCTGCCACTGCCAATTCTTCATGCTACTACTTCAGACCACAAAACAGAAAACAGGCTAAATGACAACTAAAGAGAAAAATTTACCAGAGCCAAGGCTGCAATACAGAACAGGAAGCACAGTACAGTGTTTTCCAGCTGACTTTCTGAGTAGTCTAAACTGCCTGATTCCATAGTCTGAGAAGGTATATTTAGACAAATTATAGGCATTTGATTTCTCAATCATAGCTTCATTTTGCAATTATCCCAGTCATTTAAGCTATGTTTTAGATCAGCCATAATACTATCCCCCCGTGGAAAGGGCTCCCTATTTGTCTAAGGTGGAAATGGTTTATCAAGACTTCTGATTGTAAAAAGTCTGGTACAAACTATTTCAGACAGTCTTGGCTAGAACAGTACCTCTAGGAGCCAGGACAATCAATTGTAATCTTTGTGTCTCATGGCATCCATAGTTGATGACGGTACAAGTATAGTCTGGCTGGCTGTTAGACTAATAATACTCCTTATTTTTTTCCATAGCAGCTCAGGCAGCAAGGCTTTTAATAGTTGCTAATTGAAAAGTCAGATTGGCTCATTCCCAATGTTTTTGCTTGTTTCTTGGAAAACAAATTTCAGAAGGGATCACACTGTAAATGTACAGAGCTTATTTCCAGTAATAGCAGTGACTTTTATTTTATATTTTACTTTTTAATTTTTTCTTACGGGTTACATATATGATTCCCAACTTGTTCTACCCTAACTGCTCTTTTATCACTCCTTCCTTCTCCCATTAGTATTCCTTATTTTCCTGAACATTTAATTTCATTTATTCCTGATTTTACTTTTCTATCATATATATGTGCATGATTTTATGTGTCTATAAAATATAGAAATCAGAAGATAGAAAACTTATAATATTTGTAGTTCTGAAACTAGTTTAATTAGATTAATATGGTTATCTGTAGTTGTATCAATTTTTATTCAATTACTATAACTTCATTCTTGACTGTGGCTACAAAAATTCCATTGTGTATATATACCTTATCCATTCTTGTCTCATTGGGCATATAAGTTGGTTTCATAGCATAGCTAGTGTGCATAGTGATTCAGTAAACACTGGTGAATAAGCATATCTGTGATATGTTGATTTGTGTTCCTTTGTGTAAATGCCCTTTGTGTAAATTATAGTTTATTCACTTTGTATCCTCCCTGTAGCTCCCTCCCTTCACCCCTCCCAAACCCACCCTCCTTCCCCCTTCTCCACCCATGTCCCTCCCCAAGTCCACTGATAGGGGAGGTCTTCTTTTCCTTCCTTCTGATCCTAGTCTATTAGGACTCATCAGGAATGGCTGCATTGTCTTCCTCTGTGGCCTGGTAAGGCTGCTCCCCACCTCAGGGGAAGGTCATCAAAGAGGAGGCCAGTCAGTCCCTGTTCCCATTACTATGGAACTCACTTGGACACTGAGCTGCCATGGGATACATCTGTGCAGGGGTTCTAGGTTATCTCCACTCAAGGTCCTTAGTTGGAGCATCAGTCTCAGAAAAGACCTCTGGGCCCAGATTTGTTGGTTCTGTTGCTCTCCTTGTGGAGCTCCTCTCCTCTCCAGGTCTTACTATTTCCAACTTCTTTCATAAGATAACCTGCACTCTGCCCAAAGATTGCCCATAAGTCTCAGCATCTGCTTTGATACCCTGCAGGATAGAGTCTTTCAGAGGTCCTCTGTGGTAGGCTCCAGTCCTGTTTCTTGTTTTCTCCCTCTTCTGATGTCCATCCTCTTTCTGAATGGGGATTGAACTCTTATCCAGAATCTTCCTTTTTGATTAGTTTCTTTAGGTATACAGATTTTAGTGTGTTTATACTTATGAGTGAGTATATACCCTGTGTGTCTTTCTGCTTCTGGGATACCTCACTCAGGATGATCTTTTCCAGTTCCCACCATTTGCCTGCAATTTTCATGATTTCCTTGTTTGGTATTGCTGAGTAATATTTTATTTTGTTATTTTATTTATTTTTTTTTTGAGACTCTTCCGTATTGATTTCCATAGTGGCTTGACTGGTTTACATCCCAAACCACAGTGTATAAAAGTTCCTTTGTGTCCACATCTGAATAAACATTTACTATTGTTTCTTTTCTTGATGAGTAATTTTCTACCAGATGTAAGATGAAGCTCAGTGTAGTTTTGAATTGTATTTCTGGGGTGACTGGTGAGGAAGAACATATTTCTATACATACTTATTGGCCATTTGCAGTTCATTTTTTGAAAAAAGTCTGTTCAGGGGCTTGTTGTATCGCTCAGTTGGGAATAAGACTTAATGAGGATATGAGTTGGAACCTCCAGTACCTACTAAAAAGATTGGCATAGCTACTTGTGCTTATAAACTCTTACAATGGGGAGTAGAGAGAGGCGGATCCTAAAAGCTACCCATCCTAATAAAGGGGTAAGCTTGTGACTTATCCCAAGGCAATGAGGTGAGACAACAAGAGTCCTCCGCTGGACTCTACATGTACATACAGGGGCATTTGCACCACGTACTTATATGCATCATATGCATAGACACTCCACACATATAAAAGAATTTTTTAAAAAGACAACTTGTCTGTTCATTTTAAACCTCACTTATTGATTGTGTTGTTTGACTTTTTCATTTTTTTTGTGGGCTGTTTGTTTAATTGATTCTATCTATTAATCCTTTGTAAAATGTCAGCTAGCAAAGACTTTCTACCATCATGTAGGGCTTATCTTTACTCTTTCTGTTGTTGTACAGAATTTTAAAATTTCATATGTTCCCACTTCTCAGTGTCAGCTTTTATATTCTGAATGACTGTTGTTCTCAGAAAACTATTATCTATGGCTATACGGTTTTAATATTTTCCTTTCTTTACCCGCTAGCAGTTTCAGAAATTCATGGCTTACATTAAGCTCTTTGATCTGTTTGGAGTTGATTTTTATGCAGGATGAGAAATAGAAATCTAACTTAATCTTCTACATGTGGACATCCAGCCTTGCTGGCACTAGTTGTTGAAAAGTCAGTCTGTTCTCCAACATGTATCTTTGACATCTTTATAGAAGTTCAGGGGCCTGTAACTGAGTCTGTGGGCTTCTTATATGGATCCTTCATTCTGTTCCATTTATCTGCATGCCTGTATTTGTTGTAGTATCATTCTGTTTCTGTTTTTTTTCTTAATGATTGAACAGTTATTTTAATTTTTTGCCTTTGAGGTTATAATTACATCATTTTCATCCTCACTTTCCTCCTTCCAAATCCTCCCATGTAACTCTTCTTGCTCGTGAAAATCCATTTTTTTAAAATTATTGTTATACCTTTTTAATGTAATTTGAAATCAGTTATTGTGATACCTTTAGCATTATTTTTTGTGTTCAGGATTACTTTGGTGGTCTGGGATCTTTCATGCTTTGAAATGAATTTTAAGATTATTTTTCCTGTTTCTGTGCAGGGTGACAAAATTTTGATGGACATTGCAATGAATCTGTAGATTGATTTTGGTAGCATAACCATTTTCACAAAATTAATTCTTCCTGCTCATGAGCATGTTAATTCTTTCCATCTTCTGGAGTCCTATTCAGTTTCTTTTTTGAGTATTTGAAAGTTTGCATTATAGAGGTTGTTTGCTTCTTTGGTTACATTTATTCCATAATAATTTTGGAGGCAATTTTGAATAGGATTGCTTTCTTGATTTCTTTCTCAGCATGTTTATTGTTTCTGTATAGGTAGACTACTGATTTTTATGTGTTAATTTGCATATGTTGAAGCATAACTGCATCCATGTAATAAAGTCAAGCTAATTAAGGTAATGGCATATTTGATGTGTTACTGAATTTTCTTTGTGAGTACTTTATTAAGAAATATGGCTCCTATGTTTGTTGTCAACAGATTGCTGTATGATTTACATTTTTCTTTTTGTGTGTTTGTGCCTTTATATGGTTTTGGTATTAGAGAAATACAGATTATGCATATAGAGTTTGATAGTGTTCCTTTCTTTAAATAGCAGTGGGTTTTTAAACAAACAAACAAACAAGTGAACAGATTTTAAGATTGTTTAACATCTTCTCAGTGCCTATGGAGAGTGTTCCATATGGATAATGGTTCATAATAGCTGTGCATTTGGTTTTGAATGAATGGCTTTTGTTAAGTGTACAGCAACTAGGAATAAAGAATAAAACAACAAGTGGAAGAGAGATGGTAGAGCATCTGATCAGACATTTATATCATCCAAAAGGAAACTAGCTGGGCAAACCCTGGGAACAAAAACAGTCAGCTGGAGCCTCTGACCAGCACAGAGGGTCCCCAGGTAAAATGTCTTCACCTTAGTGAGACTTCTAATTACCTGTTCCTAGTTTTTGTATCATATTATATTTTTACATCATAGAATAAGCAGAAGCTGAATCTTTTGCTCTGGGATGGTGCTTGGGAATGATTTGTTTCCTAGCTGTGTTCAAGGACACAATGTTTTTACTTTAACAATGTACCCTCCTTCTGTTCTCAAGAGCATGGTGTTTTTATTCTTGTCATGCTGTTCTCATTTAACTTTCACAGAGGGCTGGGGTATCAGCCTGTCCCTGGACAACTGGTCTTGAAAAGACTTTAAGACAAAATGGCTTAGGTCTGAAAAGGTAGGGGCAAACCCTACTTTCAGAGTCAGTTTCTCAGTGATCTTAAAGGGCATTTGACAATTTACTAATACTATGTATATTACAGAGAGACAGTCTCTTCATTTATGTAGAGAAATTTGGGGTGTATTTGGAATAAAGATGGCCTTGTAATGACAGGATATAATGAGTTATAGGGGGAGTTATTGAGGTTGCCTGGTGCCAAGGAGGCTAGATCCTGCTCCTTCTACCAGCAGTTTGCCTAGAATTTGCAGAGTATATTAGTGGTGCGTCTTTATTTTTTTTATTTTTTTGAGGACATAAAAAACATTTTGACCATATTTCTGGCAAAAGAGTTCTATGTCCAGCGATTATAGGGTGACATCATTTAAAGACTTTTATTTGTGACAAGATAAGAACAGAGGTTCTTTGCTAGCTGTCCAAGGAGAAGCAGGTAACAAACCTTTGAAACTCCCAAGAAGAAAAGATCTAATGAGCTTAAATTACCTTAAATATACCAAGAAACACAGATATGTAACTATAGAGCAAGTGATTATGATTCCTAGAGAAACCAGTAAACGGACATAGTTTTTGAGGGTGGCTATTCCCTTGGGGCAGCACCAGAGAAAGTCTGCCTATGTGGTAGGAGAAAGGAACAACTATTCCAACAAGATATTCATGTATTGCTGAACATGAAAAAATGATCTGGAAAAAAAATGCACTAATCATGTAAAGATGGCGATCTCAAAAGTAACTAAAGGGAATAAAAGCTACCAGTATACATCCAATGCCCAGTTGCTGGAGACTATATAGAGTGGAAGTGTCAGTAGAGCTCCGCAAGCTTCTTCAAGTGAATTTGGACAGAGAAGACTGTTGGGAAGCCCAAGATAACCTTCAGAGCTTCCTTTTCTGTGCCTCAGGAACTGGGTGGCAGCGTATCATTTCCTAGACCTCAGTGCTAAACAGGAGCCACCTAGCCAAGCAAACAGAACATGAGGGCATAATGAGCTCTTCTAAAGTAATCAGTGAGTCAGAGTTCACCACCAATGTGGAAATTTGGCTAGCTGATTGTCGGAGGCTGGTGTGGAAATTCAACAACCTCCAGGGGAACAGCAATACCCTAATCTTCATTGTAGGTTCCCGGCCAGCCATGCTGCCATCAGCTTTGCCCTCATGACTGCCTTATAAGCAAAAAGTATTCGAAGGAAGCCAACCTGTCCATTGCAGACATCATGCAACATTGCAGCAGTTAACATAATCTCTCTAGCCACTGTCTCAATTCCCTGCTATGTTGCCCAAAGGTCAGCAGCTGTGCCTCATGAAGATCACCGTTTCTGCTCCCTGTTTACACCTAGCAATTAAATGTCATATGCTCTCCGTTGCTCTGGGTTCTTAGATTTTGGATATTTACTTTCTCTTTTGTTGCATTTTTTGGGTTTTCATGATAATCAGTGGGTTTCAAAGAAAAAAATGAAAAGAAAAAAGATGAAGGAAAGTAAAGAAGAGCTACAGGCTGTGTAACTCTGGAGGGCTGAACTAGTCAGTATATAGAACTTAGAAGCAATAGTAATTCAGCCTTCTATAAAGAGTAACTCCAATTATGAAAATATATTGTAGTACCTCCTCAAAAAAGGGGGTTTGTCTATATGAGTGTGTATATACCGTGTGTGTCTTTCTTCTTCTGGGAAAGCTCACTCAGGATGATCTTTTCCAGATCCCACCATATATCTGCAAATTTCATGATTTCCTTTTTTTTTTAAATTGCTGAGTAATATTCCATTGTGTAGATGTACCACAATTTCTGTATCCATTCCTCAGTTGAGGGGAATCTGGGTTGTTTCCAGCTTCTGGCTATTACAAATAAAGCTGCTACAAACATGGTTGAGCAAATGTCCTTATTGTGTACTTGATCCTCTTTTGGATATATGCCTGGGAGTGGTATAGCTGGATCTTGAGGAAGCGCTATTCTTAGTTGTCTGAGAAAGTGCCAGATTGATTTCTGGAATGGTTGTACTTTGGAAAGGTTCAAGCAGAAGCTTTGTACAACCTAATAGTACTATAACCAGAGGGTCTTCATTGTTATTAACTAATCTAGGTGGTTCATAACGATCTAGAAGTTTGTATGCTAATGGATGAGGTGGGAGTCTACTTGATACTCTGTGAATTCATGTAACATTTACCCTCTTACATGTCAGTGGCTCAGATAAATACTTCCAGAAGAGTTCTAGTCGAATTGGAGGTACTTACTGGAAAGTTCGCTATGAAGCCTTCCAAGATGAGACATTCCATAAAAGCATTCATCAGAAGGAAGAACAACATCTTGGAATACTGGGTGAGGAATCTTTAACTCTTAAAATTCATGAACTAGAGACAAATAAATGAGGAAAACTTTTAACTTTAGATTGTTGGTGACTCAATGGAAGATTGTGTAAATTCATCTCCAGAGCTGAGTCCCAAGAAATGAGTGTTTGTAAAAAATGTCATAGATCTGAGTGTGTTTAAAAATCAATAGGTCTTTTCAAGACAGGTTTTCTCTGTGTTTCCCAGGTTATTCTAGAACTTATTCTGTAGACCACGGTAGCCTCAATGCCAATAGAGATCCTCCTCCCTTTACTCTCAAGTGTTGGGATAAAGGGAAGTGCCAACACAGCCAGGCTGGAAAGTTTTTTTTTTTTTTTTAAGATTTATTTATTATTTATACAGTGTTCTGGTCTTCCCCTATCAGTGGACTTGGGGAGGGGCATGCGTGAAGAAGGGGGAGGGAGGGTGGGATCGGGAGGGTAAGAGGAAAGGACTTATGGGGGATACAAAGTGAATAAAGCGTAATTAATAATAAATAAATAAATAAATAAATAAATAGATAGATAGATAGATAGATATATAGATAAATAAATAAACGACAAAGTATAATGTGCCCTGATATTAGATTAGCACAGACTAGCAAAATTAAATAACTATAGCTCCAAGAAGATTTATGACAAAAAATATTTTAAAAGATAATATTGAGTGAAAGAATACAGTTAGTACAACTATAAGCCCTTTTTTGAAAACATGGGCAACTTGTTAAAAAACATAAATTTGGGGTAAAGGAGTTATGTCTGGGCTGTTTTCCCAATTTCTCAACTGGAAGTCTTGCTCAGTTACAGGAGATAGCTGGTTCAAGGGCCTTATCCTCCATTAGTAAGAATCTTAACTATGGGTCACTCTCATAGATTCCTGGGAATTTCTAAAAAATATAAATCAATAGGTCTTTAAGCATAGTTACATAGAATTTTGCTGTAAGACCTTTGAGAACCTTAGGTTTATTTTTGTTTATGATAAATGTTGAAGATGAAAATGGAAATCATATATTTCTCAAATTTGCACTACTAAAATATTTTGGAAACATTTTTTATTACAATTATTGTACAGATTACATTCTGCACGTTGCCTCTGTAGGGTACTATTGAGGTACTATTAATAAGCAGGAAGGTCAGCCATAATCTTGATAGTCTAGATCCAGATTACTAGGGATGTTCATTATTATTAGGGATACAGAACTAAGCTTGTTGTAACATCTTGGAAGCTACATTTAGAAGGTCTAACATACAGTATTGATACTGGGGTGGGGTATAGGTGGGGTTTAATCACTTCCTGGAACCAAGAAATGAAATAGGTTACATGGGAGAAAACTTTGGAAAATAATATAATATTCCAGGAATATTTACTTGCAGTTGATTCTGTATTGAAAACATTCTTAGACAGGGAAATGTGAAGAGAAAATATCCTTCCTAGAAAAAGGAGGTCTTGGTGTATGTGAAGGAGTTTTTATTGGCTGCTTTTCTGTATGTATACCCTGTTGTTCAGTGATGAAGACCATATAGAAACTGAGCTAGGAAACCCAGCTAGAATGTCTAATGTCAGAGTAAAGTAGGTATAAGCAGTTAGGCTATTGTCTTTGTAGCCTTGAAAGTGATCCAAGTCAGATTGGAAGTGATAATGAATAGTGACACACACAGAAGTCTAGAGACTATCTAGTTCAGGGCCTGCATGCTCTTCGCTTATAATTTGGTTAAGATTTTGTTAAACAGCTGGGGGCAGTGGTTTACAGCTGTAATCCTAGTACTTGGGGAGGCAGATGCAGGCTGATCTCTATCTCTGTGAGTCCGAGGCCAGCCTGGTCTACAAAGAGAGTCCAGGACAGCCAAGGCTACACAGAAAAACCTTGTCTCAGAAAACAAAAACAACAATCAAACAAAAAGAAAGAAAGAAAAGAAAAGATTTTGGTTAGTTCAGAACTTAGTATCTGCTAGGAAATTTAACTATGGGGCAACAGAAAATAAATTCAGGACAAATTGAATTGGTTCTGACTGTGGGGTGGAACAGTCATTCCCTTAGATTTTGGCTCTGAAATTGCTTTTTGAATTTTTATAGGTCAAACCTTTTTCTCTGAGGTTATTTCATCTGTGAAATGGAGGTAATAGCCCATCCTATGTATGCCTTCGTGTAATATGTGAGGATTACAAGAGACAGTGGATTTACAGTGCCTTTTATTATCATAAATAGCACCATTCTTAGAATATATTAGTTTTAAAGAAAATAATTTCCTATGTTCAATTATATCTTCTCTCCTGACCCTTTTGCTCCTATTTTTCATCAGTTTTCATTCTCATGGTCTCTCTTTCCCATTTTCCAGGACCAGTAATAAGGGCTGAAGTGGGTGACACTATTGAGGTCATCTTCTACAACCGTGCCTCCCAGCCATTCAGCATACAACCCCATGGCGTGTTTTATGAGAAAAACTCTGAGGGTACCGTGTACAATGATGGTAAGCTGCAAGGGTTTCCAAAAGTATAGGCTGTTTGTGGCTCTAGAAATAAATGAAGAAGAAGAAGAAAGAGCAAAGTTTGGCATCATTTCAATGAATGAATGAATGATGATATAGTGAAGCAGAGCTTACTCATTAATAACAGAAAACTATTTTTATGGAATTTGCCAAAGCCAGATTTACCTGTGACTTTTTAAAGTACCTTTGCATGACTATATTTTCATGGATAATTTCTAAAAATTATTTTAAAAAATATGTGTATAATATTACAAACATTGTGAACTTTTGAAAAATAAAAATATATAAAATTATAAAATAATCATTCATGGGCAAATTGTCATGTGTGTTTTTATATGACTTTTAATATTTTCTGTAATTATAATATATAATTTTATATTATATTTTTCAAAGTACATAATGTGAACACTCCTATTTACCTAATTATATGCATAAGATTTTATAATAAGAATGTAGTTAAGTATATGTTTATTTTGGTGCTGAAAATAGAACTCTGTACTTTGCCCATGCTGGATATACCTGTGACTTCAAAAAATGTATTTTTACAAGAATATATTCTCAGATATTTTTTGAACAAATTTTAAATTAATTAATTTATTTATTCACCTTACATCCTAGTCATAACCCCTGCCTCCTCTCCTTCCAGTCCCATCCTCCCTCTTTCCCCATCCTTCATTCTCTTCCCCTCGGAGAATTGGAGCCCCCCCCCCCCCCCCCCCCCCCCCCCCCCCCCCCCCCCCCCCCCCCCGGGAATGGGGCCCCCCCCCCCCCCCCCCCGACACCAACTCATCCCAGCACATCAAGTCACACCAGGGCTGAGCATGTCCTTTTCCACAGTGGTCTGGCAAGGCAGCCCTGAGCAGGGAAGTGATCAAAATTCACACAACAGTGACAAGAGGTGACAGGAGTTCCACAAGAAGACCAACAGAGCCAACTAACCAGGTCCCAGGGGTGCTTGCAGAAGCATCAACCAAGGACCATGCATGAACTGGACCTAGACCCCTTACAATGAAGTAGCAGATGAGCAGCTTAGGCATTCTGTGGGTCCTCTAGTAAGGGAAGTGTGGACTGCATGGGGCATGGACTCACTTTCCAGCTTTTTGATCAATTTCCCCTGGCAGGACTGCCTTAACAGACCACAGGGAAAGAGGACAAGTTCAGTCCTGATGCAACTTAATGAGCTGGGGTGGATGAAAAAAGGAATTCCCCTTTTCTGAGGAAAAGCAGAATGGGGAGGGACAGAGAGAGAGGGTGGGACTGGGAGAGGAGGAGGGATGGGGCTACAACAAGGATGTACAATGAATAAAAATAAAATAAAATTAGCTTATCTTGTAACAGTAATAAAATTAGACATTGTCTTATATAGATAACCTTTCTTTTTTAATTTTTTAAATTTTTATTAAATACAGTTTATTCACTTTGTATCCTAGCTGAAGCCACCTTCCCCATCCCCTCCCAATCCTACCCTTCTTTCCTCTTCTTCTCCTATGCTTCTTCCCCAGTCCACTGATAGAGAAGGTCCTCTTCCCCTTCCATCTGACCCTAGTCTATCAGGTCTCATCAGGACTGGCTTTTTTGTCTTCCTCTGTGGCCTGGTAAGGCTGCTCCCCACTCAGGTGGAGGTGATCAACGAGCCAGCGCCTAAGTTCTTGTCAAAGATGGTCCCTGTTCCTATCATTAGGGAACCTGCTTGAACACTGAGCTGTCTGGACTACTTCTGTGCAGGGGTTCTAAGTCATCTCCGTGCATGGTCCTTGTTTGGAGTATCAGTCTTAGGAAAGACCTCTGTGCTCAGATTTTTTGGTTCTGTTGCTCCCCTTGTGGAGCTCCTGTTTCCTCCAGATCTTTCTATCTCCCCTTTCTTTCATAAGATTCCCTGCACTCTGCGCAAAGTCTGGCTATGAATCCCAGCATATGTTTTGATACTCTGCTGGGTGGAGTTTTTCAGAGGCCCTCTGTGATAGGCCCCTGTCCTGTTCCCTGTTTTCTCCCTTTTCCGATGTCCATCCCATTTGTCTTTCTGAAGGAAGACTGAGCACCTTACCCAGGGTCCTCCTTCTAGGTTAGCTTCCTTAGGTGTACAGATTTTAGCATGATTATCCTATATTATATGTCTAATATCCACTTATAAGTGAGTATATACCATGTGTGTCTTTCTGCTTCTGGGATAATTCACTCAGGATGATCTTTTCTGGATCCTACCATTTGCCTGAAATTTTCATGATTTCTTTGTTTTAATTGCTGAGTAGTATTTCATTGTGTAAATATACCACAATTTCTGTATCAGTTCCTCAACTGAAGGACATCTGGTTTATTTCCAGCTTCTAGCTATTACAAATATAAAGACTTTAGTTAAACAACAACAAAGCAATTAATCCAATTAAAAAATTGGATACAGCGATAAACAGAATTCTCAATAGAGGAACATCGAATGAATGGCAGAGAAACACTTAAAGAAATGCTCAACTTCCTTAGTCATCAGAGAAATGCAAATCAAAACAACCCTGAGATTTCACCTTACACCCATCAGAATGGCTAAGCTCAAAAATTCAAGTGACAACACACGCTGGAGAGGGTGTGGACAAAGAGAAACCCTACTCGATTGCTGGTGGGAATGTAAAGTCGTACAACCACTTTGGAAATCAATTTGGTGTTTTTTCAGACAAATAGGAATAGTGCTACCTAAAGACCCAGCTATACCACTCCTAGGTGTATATCCAAAGGATGCTCCAGTGTAGAACAAGGACATTTGCTCAGCCATGTTCATAGATAACCTTTCTTAAAAGAGAAAAAAAAAAACCTGCAACAGAGTCCTTGTCAGAGATAGCCCCTGGTCCCCTTACTAGGGAACCCACATGAAGACCATTGGGTATATATATATATATGGACCTAGGTCCAGTCCGTACATGGTCCTTGGTTGGTGCTTCAGTCTCCACAAGCTTACCCCCCCCCAGGTCTAAGATAATTGACTCTGTTGGAGTTCTTGTGGAGCTCCTGTCCTCTCTGGGTGCTTATTATCTTTTCCCCACTCTTCCACAAGGTTCCTTGTGCTCCACCCAATGTTTGGCTGTGGGTCTCAGCCCCTGTTCAATCCTTTGCTGGGTGGAGCCTCTTAGAGGGCAGCTATGCTAGGCTGCCATCTGCAAGCATAGAAGAGTGTAGTTAATAGTGTCAGGGATTGGCTGTCTGATGTGGTGTGTCCAGGCATTGTGGACATTCACTCAATCTCTGCTCTAACTTCATCCCTGCCAATCTTGTAGGCAGGGTAAATTTGGGTTGAAGTTTTTGTGGGTGGGTAGGTGTTCCCATTCTTCTACTACGAGTCCTGTCTTGTTTGAGGGTGGTTTCTTTAATCTCCATGTCCCACACTAGTAGGGGTCTCCACTAGAGTCACCCCATATTCTTCCAGGAGCCTACCCTGTCACAGGTCTCCAGTGTGTCTCAGAGATGCCCCAGGCCACAGTTTCTCTTCTCTCTGCAAGCCCTCTGTCTTCCTGGCCCCACTCTCATAAGATCCCCACCCTCATTTCCTTCAGCTCTCCCTTTCCTACCCTCTTCCCTCTCTTCAAGCACTTCCTCTGTCTATTTTATTTCTTTCTCAGTGAGATTCATGCATCCTCCCATGCGTGCTCCTTGTTACTTAGCTTTTTTGCGTCTGTGAAAAATAGTATGGTTATCCTGTACTATGCGGCTAATATCAGCTTATAAGTGAGTACATATCATGCGTGTTTTTCTGGGTCTGGGTTATGTTATTTAGGATGATCTTTTCTAGTTCCATCCATTTGCCTGAAACCTTCATGATTTCTTTGTTTTGATAGCTGAGTAGTATTCCATTGTGTAAATGTGCCACAATTTCTGCATCATTTCCTCCATTGAGGGACATTTGGGTTGTTTCCAGATCCTGGTTATTACAAATAATACTGCTGTGAACATAGTTGAGCAAATGTCCTTGTTAAATGGTGGGGAAGCTTTTGGGTATATGCCCAGAGTGGTATAGCCGACTCTTGATATAGCTGAGTATTCCTAATTTTTCTGAGAAACCTCCAGATTGATTTCCAAAGTGGTTGTAAAAGTTTGCACTCCCACCAGCAATGGAGGATTTCCCCACTTCTCTCTACATCCTTACCAGCATGTGCTGTCACTTGAGTTTTTGATCTTAGTCATTCTGATAGATGTAAGATGGATTCTCAGAATTGTCTTGATTTGCATTTCCCTGATGGCAAATGATGCTGAGCATTTCTTTAAGTGCTTCTTGGCCATTTGAGATTTCTCAGTTGAGAATTCTGTTTAGCTCTGTACCCCATTTTTAATTGAATTATTTGGTTCATTGGTAATTAATTTCTTTAGTTCTTTATATATTTTAGATATCAGCCCACTGTCGGGTGTGGGGTTGGTGAAGATATTTTTTGTTTTGTTTTTTTAAGACTTGAGTATTCTACATTTATTCATTTGATTCAACAAATGCTGCTTGGGTTTCAGTGGGCTGAGTGCTAAATCAGGTGAGGACCAGGTTGGCCTCACCCTCTAGACATCAGGTTTCTTCATGTGGTATATCTGAGTTCCCAGAAGTACAGTTCTGGGCATAGAGCTTCTTTCAAAGCTTTGCTAATCTTCTGTCCAAATGTGGTGTCTGTTTCCCTCATGTTGGCTCCAAGTGAGCAGATGACAAGTAGAGCCCCACAGAACTGATACTTTCTATCTTCTGGAGCTGAGCAATAACAGAGGACAGGACTCTTTCTACCTGCTTTCCTTTGTGGGTCCATGCTTCGTTTTTTAAGAAAATCTCAAAACATTCCTTTTTACCAATACTCAGGAGCCAGGTGCTGGGGTGAAAGCATGCTAGCTCAGGAGAGGCAGAGAAAGCACACAGCTGACCTTCCTCATCAGATAACATTCCAAAAAAAAAAAAAAAAAAAAAGCAAACTCCCTTCCCCATGCGTTCTCAAAACAAAAAACAAACAAAAACAAAAACAACTGAATGA